CTCAGTCCAGTGCTCCAGTGTGGGTCTCTGTCTCTGTCTCCATCCATCACCAGATGAAGGTTCTATGATGATATGCAAGATATTCATCAGTTTTGCTATAGGATAGGGTCATTTCAGGTTCCCTATCCTCAGCTGCCCAAGGAACTAACTGGGGACCTAGGCTTGGGCATCTGGGAGCCACTCCATTTTCTGGTATACTCCTCAGTTTCTTTCTTCAATGCCTTAAAGTTGTTGTCAAATAGATCTTTCATTTCCTTGGTTAGAGTTACCCCAAGATATTTTATGCTGTTTGTAGCTATCGTGAAAGGTGAAGCTGCTCTGATTTCCCTCTCTGCTTCCATATCCTTTGTGTATAAGAGGGCTACTGATTTTTTGGAGTTGATCTTGTATCCTGCCACATTACTAAAGGTGTTTATCAGCTGTAAAAGTTCTTTGGTGGAGTTTTGGGGGTCGCTTATGTACACTATCATATCATCTGCAAATAACGAAAGTTTCACTTCTTCCTTTCCAATTCGAATCCCCTTGATCCCCTTATGTTGTCTTATTGCTATTGCTAGAACTTCAAGCACTATATTGAAGAGGTATGGCGAGAGTGGACAGCCTTGTCGTGTTCCTGAGTTTAGTGGGATGGCTTTAAGTTTCTCTCCATTTAATTTGATGTTAGCTGTCGGCTTGCTGTATATAGCTTTTATTATATTTAGGTATGACCTTTGTATCCCTAATCTCTCCAATACTTTTATCGTAAAGGGATGTTGAATTTTGTCAAATGCTTTTTCAGCATTAATGAAATGATCATATGGTTTTTTTCTTTCAGTTTATTTATATGCTGGATTACATTGATAGATTTGCGTATGTTGAACCAGCCCTGCATCCCTGGGATGAAGCCTACTTGATTATAATGGATAATTTTCCTAATGTGTTCTTGGATTCGGTTTGCCAGTATTTTGTTGAGGATTTTTGCATCGATGTTCATGAGTGAGATTGGTCTATAATTTTCTTTCTTGGTTGAGTCTTTGTGCGGTTTTGGTATCAGAGTAACTGTAGCTTCATAAAAGGAATTTGGCAATGCCTCTTCTGTTTCTATATTGTGAAATACATTAAGGAGTATAGGTATTAGGTCTTCTTGGAAGTTCTGGTAGAATTCCGCATTGAAACCATCTGGTCCTGGGCTTTTTTTGGTAGGGAGGTTTTTGATAACCTCTTCTAATTCTTCGCGACTAACAGGTCTATTTAGATTGTTCACCTGGTCCTGGTTTAACTTTGGTATATGGTATTTATCTAAAAAAGTGTCCATTTCCTTTATATTTTCCAGTTTTGTGGCATATAGGCTTTTGTAGTAAGATCTAATGATTCTCTGAATTTCCTCTGTGTCTGTGGTTATGTCCCCCTTTCATTTCTGATCTTATTAATTTGCAAATTCTCTCTCTGCCGTTTGATTAGTTTGGATAGGGGTTTGTCAATCTTGTTGATTTTCTCCAGGAACCAGCTTTTTGTTTCATTGATTCTTTGGATTGTTTTCTGTGTTTCTATTTTGTTGATTTCAGCCCTCAGTTTGATTATTTCCAGTCTTCTACTCCTCCTAGGTGAGTCTGCTTCTTTTTTTTCTAGAGCTTTCAGGTGGGCTGTTAAGTCTCCAATGTGAGCTTTCTCTGTTTTCTTTAAGTGGGCACTTATTGCTATGAACTTTCCTCTGAGGACTGCTTTCATAGTGTCCCATAAGTTTAAGTATGTTGTTTCTTTATTTTCATTGAATTCCAGGAAAACTTTACTTTCTTTCTTAATTTCTTCCTTAATCCAGGTATGGTTCAGTAGTTGACTGTTCAGTTTCCATGAATTTGTAGGCTTTCTGGGGGTAGCATTGTTGTTGAATTCTAAATTTAATCCATGGTGATCTGATAAGACACAGGTGGTTACTAATATTTTTTTGTAACTGTGGATGTTTGCTTTGTTACCGACTATGTGGTCGATTTTCGAGAAGGTTCCATGAGCTGCAGAGAAGAAGGTATATTCTTTCCTATTTGGGTGGAATGTTCTATAGATGTCTGTTAAGTCCATTTGATTCATTACCTCCATTAATTCTCTTATTTCTCTGTTAGGTTTCTGTTTGATTGACCTGTCCATTGGTGAGAGAGGAGTGTTGAAGTCTCCTACTATTAGTGTGTGCGGTTTGATGGCTGCCTTGAGTTTTAGCAATGTTTCTTTTATGTACGTGGGTGCTTTTATATTAGGGGCATAGATGTTCAGGATTGAGACTTCATCCTGATGAACTGTTCCTGTTATGAGTATAAAATGCCCCTCTCCATCTCTTCTGATTGATTTAAGTTTAAAGTCAACTTTGTTAGAGATTAGTATGGCCACACCTGCCTGTTTCTTAGGTCCATTTGCTTGATAGGCCTTTTCCCAGCCCTTTACTCTGAGTAGGTGCCTGTCTTTGTGGTTGAGGTGTGTTTCTTGTAAACAGCAGAATGTTGGATCCTGTTTTCGTATCCAATCTCTTAGCCTGTGCCTTTTAATAGGTGAGTTGAGTCCATTGACATTAAGTGATAATAATGACCAGTGGTTGTTAACTCTGGTCATTTTTTTAGTCGTAGAGTTTGTGTGTTTCCCTTCTTTGATTTGTGTTGGTGAAGGGTCTCTAGATGTCTAAGTTAGTGTGGTCATTGTTGGACTCCTTGGTTAGTGATTTTCCTTCTATTACTTTCTGTAAGGCTGGATTTGTGGCTGCATATTGTTTAAATTTGTTTTTATCCTGGAAAATTTTATTTTCTCCACGTATAGTGAACGAAAGCTTGGCTGGGTATAGTAATCTGGGCTTGCATCCATGGTCTCTCAGTTTCTGCAGTACATCTATCCAGGACCTTCTGGCTTTCATGGTTTCCATGGAGAAGTCAGGTGTGAGTCTGATAGGTTTACCTCTATAAGTAATTTGGCCTTTTTCCTTTGCAGCTCTTAATATTCTTTCCTTATTCTGTATGCTTTGTGTTTTGATAATTATATGACGAGGGGATGTTCTTTTTTGATCCAGCCTATTCGGTGTTCTGTATGCTTCTTGAACCTTCATAGGTATATCTTTCTTTAGGTTGGGAAAGTTTTCTTCTATAATTTTATTAAATATATTTTCTGGACTGTTGAGCTGCACTTCTTCTCCTTCTTCTACTCCTATTATTCTTAGGTTTGGTCTTTTTATTGTGTCCCATATTTCCTGAATATTTTGTGATGAGAGTTTGTTGGACTTGCTGTTTTCTTTGATCAGTGTGTTTATTTTCTCTACGGTATCTTCAGAATCTGAGATTCTTTCTTCTAACTCTTGCATTCTGTTGGTTATGCTTGTTTCTGTAGACTCTGTTTGTTTACTTAAAATTTCCATGTCCAGCCGGCCCTCTGTTTGTGTTTTCTCCTTTGCCTCCATTTCAGTTTTCAAGTCTTGCACTGTTTCCATTATCTGTTTGATTGGTTTTCCTTGGTTTTCTAGGGTATCATTCACTGATTTATTCAATTCTTCAAACTTTCTGTTATATTTCTCATCCATTTCTATAAGGGCGTTCTTTACATGCTGTTTAAGGGCATCAATCACTTTCATAAAGTCAATCTTTTCTACTTCTTGATTAAGGTGTTCATGTCCTCCCGTTGTGAGGTCACTGGTTTCTGGTGGCTTCATTTTGCTTTTCAGATTGTTGGGTGAATTCTTGCATTGGTGTCTGCCCATCTCTTCTTCCAAATGCTCCCTTATGGATCTTCTTTACCGGATCAGGTCTCCTTGCCTACCCAATGCTGGCTTTCCCCAACGTTGGCTCTCCTGGTGCCGAGAGATCAGGTCTCCGTGCTGGTTGGGCAGCTCGCAAACAAAGCGCCTACCCTGCTTGGTGGAGGCAGGCCATAGAAACAAAGGAACTCCTGCCTGCTTGGGTGCCCCGAGGATTCGGACCCAGTGCCCAGACAGGCTGGGCTGGGTGATGTTATGTGCCAAAAGAGGGCAGGGGGGCCGAAGTGGGGAGGGTTCTGGATGGAAGCTGGGTGGGCTAGGAAGAAAGAGGCGGTATGCAGGGAGTGGAGGCCCTGCAGAGAGCTCAAGAAGGATAGGGGGCCAAGGAACCTCTGAGCTCCCCTTCCCAGGCTGGCGCCACGGGGCCAGAAACTCACCCCAACGCTGGCTCTCCTGGCACCGAGAGATTAGGCCTCCGTGCTGGTGGGCAGGTCACAAACAAAGCGCCTACCCGGCTTGGTGCAGGCAGGCCATAGAAACAAAGGGACTCCCGCCCACTTGGGTGCCCGAGGATTCGGACCCAGTGCCCCGAGCCATACCTTTCACGTGGATGTCTAAGTAGACCTTCAGGATAGCCTCAGTTTTACTCTTTACTGCAACCTAGTGGCCACAATTTCAGATTGCAGGATTAGCAGAAGGTAGCACTAATGAGGAAATGGCTCTGATAGCATAAATTTGTGAATGTAGTGATAACAGTGACTGACAAGACAGCACAAAGACTGAACACACCCTAACCAGAGTCACTCTGACCAGAACTTTCTAAGAAATGACACATTGAGGACAGTCACCTAACAGGAAGCCCACACTAGCTCAGAACAGAGAAATAGATGGCTATTTATTACTTAGGGGTAAACTCATGAATCAGAATCCTCCGCTTGATCAGAGATCAGAAACTGAAATCCACAACTGGAACAGAGGGAGAGGCCAGAAAGAGAGTGGAGGTATGCTCTGCATCAGCATATATAGTATAAGAGGCCACGCCCCAGTGGGCGGGTTACCACTTCCTACAGCACACAATCATTTAACAGCAATATAATTGGGATCAGGATCGCTTAGACTTGAAAGACATCTAAATTTTAGAAATATTTAAATTATGTTTTCTATTAATTAAAATCCTGCCACTCATTCCAGGCTAGTACATACCACCTCCATCAGTCTTTTAGTGCTCAGAAGAAATCTTAAAAATGTCTTCCTTTGCTGACTTTGTCCGGAATTGTTTCCTTCCTTCTCTTTTCAGGATGGAACGATCATTCACATCCTTTCTGGGAGATGCATGGAAGCTGGGGCTCAAGGAGACAGTAAGGATCTGCACTTGAGTCAGTGTGATGGTAAAAGCAGCCAGCTGTGGCGATTCGACCAGGTCCACCCTGTGGATGAATGATGAGTAACAGTGACGGAGAGCAAAGCAAATGATCAGCTTCACATTTCTACTCCTGTGTGTTCTGAGCCGTCCACTGTGCCCAGGTTGCCGGTATAGGAGAGAAGAAAATGACATATATATATATATATATATATATATATATATATATATATATATATATTTGTGCCTCATGTCATTGATTGATAGCTGTATTTATAGAGGAAAAGCAATGGAGTCATTGTATTCATCTTCAGAAATGTTCATCATGAAATACAGGAGAGTCCTTTCTTGACCTACCAAGCATTTAACATTTGCTTTTATCCCTGACTGTGGAAGAGGCATAGACATTGTCTGACAGATCTTCCAGGAGACATCAAATGCAGTGGATAACTTTATCTGACCCCAAGTAGCCTTTACTTGGATGGTGTGGTATATGTGGTCCAGTGTGAAAGTTAGAGTGAAGGGTGTTTAATGGTCTATGCTCCAAACCATTTTATTAGGCTTACTAGCATATATTTTCTCATTTATTGAGCTCTAGCTCAAGAGGAAGCAGAAGGGAATGGAGAGGAATGGGGTGGGGCTGGGAAGAAGGCTGGAAAGAGATTTGTCCTGACTCTCCAGCTCAGGTTGGCCCATGAAGAGTGAACAGAGCTAGGTAAGAGTTTTTCATCTTCAAGACAGCCCCCTGAAACTCTCTACCTCCATTCACCTGCTCTAGCCTTCTCTAGCTCAGCCGTGCACAACCAGATTTCCTCACAGTGTAGTCTTTCTGAGTCACCAGTGCTGGAAGGATCAACACATCTGAGCATTCTCATGAACAAAAGTATCATGGTAGATAAACTCCCTTGACGCCCTGGTAGGAGAGCTGTGCTGGCTCGATGAGAAATAGCAAGCTTTGAAAAAGGAAAACCTTCCCTTGAATGGAAATGCCACCACTCCAGCCAAAATCTTTACAAGGCAAAATGGATGTGGCTATTGAATATTCTTGAAGCTTGGTGGGGCCATCTATGAACCAACAATGTATGCCAAGGACCCCCTAAATGTGGATTCCTGTTGAATGCTCATGGTTGAGTGATATCCACCTCAGCCAGAGCAGAACCAAGGTATAGCCACAAGTGTTGCTGAGTGAGTTAGGAAGCTGTTGAGAAAAAAAAAAACATTCTTGCCCATTTCTCTCTGGATGTAATTAGCTCTGTATATGGCAAACTTAAAATTTCATATTAAAGATGCCTTTGACCTTTTGACTGTCTTTGAACAGTTGTTTTAAATAAGAATTAGGAAAGAAGCTTGCATTTCTAAAATACCCAACACGTATGTATTTCTTCCAAGTCAATGCCCACTGTGTTTCTCCAACCTTAGAATTGATCTATACTAACTAACACTATCCAATATGATGCCACAAACCCACTGTGGCCATTTTGATGGAAATTCTGTACAATTCAGGAAATTTTCCAACTGTTCCTTGATTGTGCTGGCTACATTTCAAGAGTTCAGTAGCCAGCTGTGGCTAGTGGCTACTAAACTGAGAACAGTTATAAAATATCCCACCATCACAGACTTTATTACTGAATAGCACTGGCTAGACCCATTCCCGAGTATGGAAGAAATTTTACCCACCATCTTCTTACTTCAGACCTGTCTGTATTTAAAATGAATTCTCCTGACATGTTGAGGCAGGGATGGAGCTTTCAGATGATAACCTTGTAAAGGGCAGTAACGGTTGAAGAGCAAACATTTAAAAAAAGATCTCTATTCTGAAATGAATTCTGTGATTAGCATTGTCAGTAGCTGAAGCTGTTGGGATAAATTAATATAATTAAATAAAAGGCTAAATTCTGTTGTGTGAGTTGTACTTGGTGGTGATTAACACCTTGGGAGGTCTGCAGAGCACAAAGCCTGGGTTCTAGGTATGTTTAATGTTAGCAGCCTGGTGTGGGAGGTCCTTCTGTCTATGTGTTGCTTTTATGGGTCAATGAATAAAGAACTGGCTTGGCCTATAGCATGGGACGAGGAAGGCAGAGTCAGAGAGAGATGCCATGGAGCCACCGCCAGAGATAGACATGCTGAAACTTGGCTGGTAGGCCATAACCTTTGGTGATATACAGATGAATAGAAATGGGTTAAATTAAGATGTAAGAATTAGCCAACAAGAAGCTAGAGCTAATGGGCCAAGCAGTGTTTGAATTAATGTATGGTTTTCTAAGTGGTTGTTTCCATGGAAGAAGGGTGTGAGGTTTCTTCAGCCTGAATCCCTCAGTCATGGCTGGTTCTGGGGAGGACAACCAGGGAATAGGGAGAGATGCTTCCTTGGCTTGGCAACCCAGGGTATGGCTTTTCCTGTGGACTCCCCAGGGCCAACCTTGTGCTGTGATTCCAGGCTTGTGAATCACCCCTCTTCTATGTATGGCCTACACAAATCCAGATAGGCCCTGGGGAATCCAGGGAAACTGCACACCTCTCTTCTATAAATGGCTTCCTCAGGTTTGGTTAGGCCTTGGTGGGCCACTCCTGAGAAGTGGTGCCCTCCTCCTCTGAGGCTGGCCTCCATAGTGCCAGACAGGCTTTGGAGAGCCAGCAAACCCTCCCACAAGGCTAACCTTCCGTGGACCAACCATGCCCTGGGGTGCCAGGCCAAAGTATCTCTGCTCCCACTTTTATGACTGGCCTCAACAGGGCCTGCAAGTCTATGCAAGCTGCATACAATATTCCAAGGCCAACCTTCCAGAGTCCTACCTGCCCGAAGAAAGGGTATCCATTCTTTCATGTCCTGTCTCCCCAGGAACAGACAGACTATGGAGAGATAAGTAGGGAAGCTGCACCCCACTCTTCTCCAGCTGTCCTTCACAGGGTCACACAGGCCCTGGGGACCAAAGTCAGGGAATCTGCACCCCAATCTTCCACAACTGGCCTCTCCTAGGGAGCCATGCGTGGAAAGCTGTGCCTTCACTTCCATTACTAGCCTCCCCTGGGTTGGACAGCCTTGGGGTGTCAGACAGGAAACTGCCCAATCTTCTATGGCTGGCTTGTGCTCCCTCTCTATCATTGGCCTCACCTGGACTGGCAAGTCCATGGAAGGTACCACCCCTCTTCCACAGCTAGCCTTCAAAGGGTCTGCCAGGCCCGGAAAGGGATGAACAGGTCCTGGAGAGCAGGCTGGGATCCACAGCTGGCCTCTGCTAGATCAGACAAGTCTTGGTGATTCAGGGAATCTACACCACCTCTTCCACAGGTAGCTTGACCAGGGCCTGCCAGGCCAGGGAAAGTGTGCCCCATCATTGATGACTGACCTTTCCAGGACAGGATAGGCCCTGGGAAGTCAGACTGGGGAAAATGCTTAGCCCTCTTCCACGTTTGGCCTCCAGAGGATGAGGCAGGGCCTGGAGAGTCAGGCCAGGGTTGTTGCACACCCCCTCCTCTATGGCTGAGCCTGACAGTTCTTGGGGAGCCAAGCTGAGAAAGATGCACTATTCTCCTCCATATCTGGCCTCTGCATGGCCAGAAAAGTCCTGGGGATCCAGAACGGGGAAGCTGTGCCCCCCTTCTTCCACAACTTGCCTTCACAAATTAGGGCAGGCCCTGGGGAGACAGGCTGAGGCCAGTGTGAACCAGTATCCCAAGGCCAGGGTATCACTGGCCCAAGTTAGGGCAACCATGGAAGTGGGAATGCAGAATCATCTGCCTGCCACCGCAGGACTGGCCCTGTCCTGGGAAGGCCAGATATGGACAGGGTTGTGGCATTTACCTGGCCTGGCTTCCCTGGTTCTATCCAGCCCTGTAGAGGCCAGCCATGGAAGCAAATCCCCTGCCCCACCTCTCCAGGTATGGTATAACCCTCTGAACACCAGGTATGGAAGAGGAGAGCTCAGGAAACCTGTACTGGCTCCACAGGGTCTGTGAGAACTTGCACATGCCAGCCATAAAAAGTGGGTTGTTTCTTCTGTATCCTGACTCCCTGCTGCATGGTATGCCCTGGTTATGCTGGCTGGTGCAAAGGTGGGTACAGCTTTCCTAGTCTGACTCCCCAGGGCATGATCTGGACAGTCCCAGAGCCTCTTGTGAATGTAATGGATTTCCTGCATAGCCTTGCTGAGATGGTGAATCTCCTTGTACACCTGAAAATATTTCCTGACAACCTTGTTCTGAGGGGGAGAGTGACCCAGTCTCAGAGACCCTGTTCAGGAGGAGAAGGTCCCAGGGTTCTTCAGGAGATACTGATGGTCCTAAATTTTCTTTTTCAGATATGGGAGATCCCATAGTATTTTGGACAGAGAAGGAGATTCCCAGAGATCCTGGGGTAGGTGGAAAAGTTTCTGAAGTTCCTAGGAAAGAGTCTGATATATTACAAGCCTTTTTGGTGGATGACAGAGGTTTTGATGTCTCTGGCATAAGGGGATACTGTTGTAGAATCTGCAGCAAAGAAGGCAGATTCCCTAGAGAGTCTTGAGCAAGTGGTGAAGTTTCTATAATTCCATGGGTAGATGGTATTTCTAGAGTGCTATGCTTAGATGGTGCTGTTTCTAGTGTCCCCTATGAAGATTCAGATAGTCCAAGATCTCCTAGATCAGATAATGATAATGACCATCCTAAATAGAGGCCCTTGGTCTAAACAAGTGACTGAAGCCTCTTCAGATGACAAGGAAGTATCTGGAGACCCTTGAGCAGATGGTGAATGTCCAAGAGATTCTTGGGCTGATATGGACAGTCCTAGAGCCCCTTGAGTAGACAGTGCATTTCCTGAATAGATTTTCGGCAGTGGTGAATCTTGTAAAGTCTCGTTTTCACCCGAAGACATTTCCTGTAAACCTTTATCTATTAGTGAAGGTCTAATAGGCCCCATTTAAGATGAGGCAGATTTCACAAACCATTGGTCAGATGGAGAAATTCCAGAGCTTTGTGGGAAACTGTTGGTGATCTCAATATCACTTGGTCATTTATGGAGGGGCCCACTGCACCTTTGGCAGATGTTGAAAGTCTCAGTGTCTCTAGGATTGATGTCAAAGTTTTAGAGACCTTGAGATAGATTTTAAAATACTATAAACCTCTTCAGAAGATGGCAAAGGTTCTGACGTCTCTAAAGCAAACTGGGAAGTACCCAGAGGCTGTTCCGAAGACGTCTGAATTCCTACAACACTTTGAGCTGATGGTGCAGTTACTATAGACCCTTGGGCAGATGATGGTGTTTTTCTAGCACCTTGTGTAGATAGCGATGTTCCTAAAATATCTTTTAAAGATTGAGAAAGTCCACAATCTCGTGGAGTAGATGATGAATGTGCTAAAGCCTCTTGAGCTAAAAAAAAATTCCTCTTGGGAAGATGTGGACATTTCTGGAGACTCCTGATCAGATTTTGAATGTCCTACAAACTCTTGTGCTGATATGCAAGTTCCAAGAGCCCTTTGCACAGATAATAAATGGTTTTTTAAAACAAGCATAACCAACCGAATACAAGAGATAGAAGAAAGAATCTCAGATTCTGAAGATACCATAGAGAAAATAAACACACTGATCAAAGAAAACAGCAAATCCAACAAACTCTCATCACAAAACATTCAGGAAATCTGGGACACAATAAAAAGACCAAACCTAAGACTAATAAGAGTAGAAAAAGGAGAAGAAGTGCAGCTCAACGGTCCAGAAAATATATTTATTAACTTTAAAAACTTTCCCAACCTAAAGAAAGATATACCTATGAAGGTTCAAGAAGCATACAGAACACTGAATAGACTGGATCAAAGAAAAACATCCTCTCACCATATAATAATCAAAACACAAAACATACAGAATAAAGAAAGAATATTAAGAGCTGCGAAGGCTGATCTCTTGGCGCCAAGAGAGCCAACATTGGGGTGAGTTTCTGACCCTGCAGCGCCAGCCCAGGACAGGGAACTCAGAAGTTCCTCAACCCCCTATCCTTCTTGGGCTCTCTGCAGGGCCTCTACTCCCTGCATACTGCCTCTTTCTTCCTATCCCACCCAGCTTGCATCCAGAACCCTCCCCACTTCAGCCCCCCTGCCCTCTTTCGGCACATAACATCACCCAGCCCAGCCTGTCTGGGCACTGGGTCCGAATCCTCAGGGCAACCAAGCAGGCGGGAGTTCCTTTGTTTCTATAGCCTGCCTGCACCAAGCAAGGTAGGCGCTTTGTTTATGAGCTACCCAACCAGCATGGAGACCTGATCTGGGTGCCAGGAGTGCCAACATTGGGGAGAGCCAGCATTGGGCACGGAGATCTGATCTCGGCACCAGGAGAACCATCACTGGGGAGAGTCATCACTGGGAAGGTACATCAGTAGGCAAGGAGACCTGATCCGGTAAAAGAAGATCCATAGGGGAGCATTTGGAGGAAGAGATGGGCAGACGCCAATGCAAGAATTCACCCAACAATCTGAAAAGCAAAATGAAGCCACCAGAAACCAGCGACCTCACAACGGGAGGACATGAACACCTTAATCAAGAAGTAGAAAAGATTGACTTTATGAAAGTGATTGATGCCCTTAAACAGCATGTAAAGAACGCCCTTATAGAAATGGATGAGAAATATAACAGAAAGTTTGAAGAATTGAATAAATCAGTGAATGATACCCTAGAAAACCAAGGAAAAACAATCAAACAGATAATGGAAACAGTTCAAGACTTGAAAACTGAAATGGAGGCAAAAAAGAAATCACAGAGGGCTGGCTGGACATGGAAAATTTAAGTAAAAAAACAGAGTCTACAGAAACAAGCATAGCAACAGAATACACAAAGGATAAGGAAGCAGAGAGGGAAATCAGAGAAGCATCGCCTTTCATAATAGCCACAAACAGCATAAAATATCTTAGGGTAACTCTAATGAAGTGAAA